ATATATATATATATATATATATTTGGTCGATGTAGAACTCCAAGAGTTTGTAAGCATCCAATTTAGGAATTTGATATAAGTGTATAATGTAGATATATATGTGTACCCGATAGTCATAGCCCAGATATGYTGAAATATCTGCKAAGAGWAAATTAAYGCCCCCGGATTCTTCGATGTAGCTACCAAAGTCAGTAATACCAACATTTTGGACTAAGGATGCTTCAACGTCAACGAGAGCCGGGACAAAAAATCCGTTGAGGGGGTTATCCGACATGTTCTTACCAACTAAAGGTTGGTCAAGCACAACTTTGATCTTAAGTGCTTCGAGTTGCTCTCTTGGTCCTATGCCACTCAACATCAAAAGTTGTGGGCTACCAAGAGCTCCTGCAGACAATATGATTTCATCACTCTCTCCGCCATTTAGAAATGCCCAATGCATATTCCCAAATTTATCCTCAAAGGCAACTCCAAAAGCCACTGGGGTTGATTCTCCTGCTGTAAATAGTAAAAATAACAAGTAAGCTCTAGTAATAAATTAACAACTTTGGCACGCATAACATGTAGTGTACCACTAAAAGAAATTGGGTTTATATTTTATGTCCAAGTGTCATAATAAACYATTTTGTAGGATAAATAATTGCATATCCTACTTAAAGATGTTGTAATAGGTTTATGAYGYTTTTAAACATTATTAAACTAAAGTTTTTYAGGACAATTTTGAAACAAAGTTTCATATTAGCCTTTTTATAAAAAAAWTGTCATATAAAAAWATGTTTATAAATWGTCCRGTAAAAATTGCTAATAGGATAYTTTGTTTCAAAAGTGTTCTAAATATCTTGTTAAGATACCTAAAATCGTTTAATAAATTTATTACACCACTTTAGATAAGATATACAATTGTTTGGTCCTATAAACTTAAGTCATATAAAATAGTCTATTATTACACTTTAAACACTTTTGACATTCTATAAACTCAAATTTTGTTGTTATGTACCTATATATGTGTGTCTATATATATATATATATATAAAGGAGGTTTCAGGTACAACTTATACAATTGTTACAAACTAAACATCTAAATCAATTGATATCTTTATGGAAAGGATGTGGTTATATTTATTATGATTTTAATATTTATGGAAAATGATTAAAATTTATTAATTATGATATATGCTTTATATTAGAAAAAAATCAAGATATTTACGAGACCTCATATTCACTTAAATTGAAAGGATGATTTAGATTGAGTTTTATTGGCTTTAATGGGTCGGGTTGTAGTGTAGTGCGGTTCTGAATCTAGAACTCGAATCTTTAATTAATCATCATTCATACTTTGTTCTGTTGATTATCTTTCTTGATTTTATTTACAAATTTAAGACAGCTATAAACTGGTTGGTTATTATTTTATCTTAAAATATATTAATATGAGTTTCAAAGTAGAGATTATAAAATTCCGATTTCCTAGTATAATTTATTTGATTCAAAGTTTTATTATAATTTAGATTTAAAATAAAAAATATATTTATTTTAGTTCAAATATGATTTTTTTATAG